ACGTGATATCAATGATTGTTTCTTGTGTCATCGTTTATATACAAAAGAAAGTACTGGTCCCAGAGCTGGCCCTTGTGGATCCCCATTCCTCACTGTCCCCCCCCCCCTCCTTCCACATACCTGGAGGTTATTCCGGGGATCAGCGCCCCCGCGGCCCGGTCCACGACCAGGCCTCCCGGTGGATCAGGGCTGTTACTGCTGGCCGCACGCAGTCCAACGTACGAACCATAGCCCGGTTGATCCGGCACTGACTAGCTCTCTTGAAGGCAGCCAGGGGTTTATTGGTAATTCCCCTTATGCTTGGTGGGAGGCTGTTGAACAGTCTTGAGCCTCGGACGCTTATGGTGTTTTTCTCTTAATGTACCAATGACGCCTCTACTTTAATTGGGGGCATTTTGCATCGCCTGCCCAATTTTTTATTTTCGTAGGGAGTGATTTGTGTGTGCAGATTCGGGACCATTCCTTCCAGGATTTTCCAAGTGTTTATACGTCTTACCAATTAATAAATAAAGTTTACACCACATTGACATTGGTGCAAACTGTATTGTGTGACCATTGTAGATTTATCCCAATAAACTACTACTTTGTATCTATTATGCAAACCAAGTTTTTTTTTTCCACTCTGCCGCTTCTTACGTCTTAACTTGCCTAATTTACTCTCCTAGCGTCGTGGATCCTGTCATAGCTATTCGTAAACCTGTATAGAGCATGTCATTCCACTTGTCACCCTGAGGCTGAGTAAATACTGACCACCAACTTCATATTTTCGCTAACCAGAACTTTTTCTTTTTCTCGTATTGAGTCCAATATTTGGTTTATAAATGTTACGTTTAATTCGTGTTCCTCGGGACTAGGCCTTTACATTTGTATAGCCTACATGTGCCTAGTTGTGGAAATGAAGTCACAGGTATTAAGCTGCCCTAGTTGGAAGGTCTCAAACGTACCCATGGTAAACATTGTAACAGCGCGTGCTCGTGCATTCTTCTCTCATAATGGTACAAGACGGACACAGCTAATCCACGTTTTCACTTACAGTTTGTGGCCTTGTTGTGAGTGCACAAGCAATGGTACTCCAATTTGTTTTTGATTCTTTAGATATAACAGATCGTATCGCCTCCCTCCCTCCCTTCCCATATTTATCGTCATATTTTTGAGAACTAACATATTGCCCTGAATGTTACTCATATTTAGTCATAGGGCTAAAATTATTTGTAGAAAGCATAGCGTGAAAAGATGTGAATACAATTATTAAAATGTGCTAAGGTCAAACTTTAAAGGAAGACAGTTTATCTGGCTCGCTTACACCTTAATATTCCCTGAGATACACGTCTGCTGCAGCGCATTCACTGTATGATTCTAAGGGTTCACTCGCGTTTCGCTGAAAATTTACATACATTATCTGGTGGGAAGAGTTGTTCTCATTATAATGAGGTTTTGTAGCTAATAAAAGGTTATGGGGAGAGCGGCGACCAAGCGAGATGTACCTCCTCTTGTGCTGGGTGTTGGTGGTGATGGAAAACATTGGTGGAAGCAAATTTTAGCGTTGTGTGGCAGCATGTTTACTAGTGTGCATTTTGGTTTCTAGAGTCCAGGGCGGCGATAGGACGGAACCACTTAACAGGGTGGCATGGAAGGCAGGTGTGTGCGTGTGTACATGCGTGTGCGTGAGCGATGTGGAGGTTGGCGGGCCCACCTCACGTGTGCGTCTGGGGCCAGGCTGCCGCCCCGCGATCAATACTCTATACTGTACTTTCCCACACCACTTATTCTTCCGCTTCTTGAGATTCCCTCTGTTAGTATACGCAGAATTATCGCTATTTTAACAGACGAGAATGCTACTAGTGTTCTGTAGAGGAGACTTGCATAAATAGTTGTTAAACTACCGTTGGTGCATACATGTTCTCACGTGCATATGTACTCTTCTAGTTGTACTGCTGGGGGTGAAGGTATAGTTCCCGGACCTGACTTAATTCTTACATACCTACTTTAGAAATTCCTAACCTAAAGGACTAGATCGTATCGACTTTTAAAACTGTACATGGTGTTTTTTCTTTTATCAGCCCATCTTGTGCATTTCATTTACCATCCTGAAACAGAAGTGTTTCTAAGCATCCCAACGGCTTTTCCACATATTTAGCTGTGTTTGATTCCACTGGCGACCTCTGCTCGCATCTCAAACTGCCTCTCCCTATAAATTTTGTCTGAGTATTTTGTATGTCACGATCGTTCTCTTCATGGTTTACTCCGTGTTGGTACGTTAAGGTTCTTCAGCCTCATCGTAGTTCAGCAGTGTGACTCTTACAGGTTTAGTGCTTCTCAGGGAACAGGCGGGATTTTAATTCAAGGCATCCGAGCCCAAAAACCAGCAGACCATTATTCTAAGCACTGTACCATGTTGATCTAACATGATATATTCGACTAGGTATGTAAATACGCTTAGAAAGTTAACGAGAGCACTACTGTGACCACAAATGTAATTATTTTTAAATATTAATCTCATATCATGGCTGTACAAGCTACAGCTCAAATCCCTTCAAAGTCATTTTCACTGACTTGCAGAATCGTAATATCGTGATTATAACAACTCGAGGAATGGGCTAGATGCGAATCCATAGTAACCTAGTCCGAAAACTAGCAGGTGAATGAATGCTCTTGTGTTGTCAGCCAAGTCTAAAAAAAATTCCTAGTATGTAGAAATATGCCTAGTTGGGTGAATCCTGTTAGACCATCATTGTACATTGGTTAGAGCATTGGCCTGCAAGTTACTCTTAATTTGTTGAGAGAGAGAGAGAGCTTGTCAATAAAGTTAGGAATCCTTAACTTGTAAATAGCTTGTCAATATACCTAGGGATCCTTAACCTAACCTTGTCAAACCCTGTGTAAAAAAAAAAAAAGGTGTGCGCGCGTGCGTGTGCGAGAGAGAGAGAGAGAAATTTATCCTTCCTGTAAGTCGTTAGTCACATTTTAATTGATGGACTTCGTATAGCAATGTGCCCCGTGGCCTAGTGTCTAAAGCTCTCGCTTCACACGGTGAGGTCTGGGTTCGATTCCCGGCAAGGGTAGAAACACTGGGCGTGTTTCTTTACACTGGTTGTCTATGTTCACCCATCAGTAAAATGGGTACCTGAGTGTTAGTGGACTGGTGTGGGTCGCATCCTGGGACAAAACTGACCTAATTTGCCCGAAATGCTCTGCATAACAAGCAGCTTTCTATGTAGCAGTATGTCATTGATGTCAGCTATGGTCTGTATACCTTGTAGAAATAGATATATGATATGATTATGATAACTTACAAGCAACAGTTGCTTTGCAGATAACAGTTCTTTTGGAAGGTTCTGAAGAGAATTTTGTAAAGATTGGTGGAAGAATTTGCGAGGATGTGCAAGAGTGAAAAGAGCAAGGTGATAAGAGTAAGAAAATCTAGGCAGTGAAACATTACTATATTACAGGGAGGAAATTAATGTATTTTAGATAATGTGTCAGTAGATGGGCCTACGAATGATGGAGAACCCTGGAATAAGTGAGGGGGGGGTGATGAAGGTTGGTGTGTGTCATCATCTGGATAGAAAGTTCATCTATGGAGGCCCAAGAGTATACATAATTGGTACCAACACTTACATGGTTGAAAGGCATGGTCTTGAAATATTACAGTGAAGATGAGGCTGAAGACACTGGAGATGTCATGTTTGAAAGGAATATGTTTTGTGATTATGTGGAGAATTAAAAGTGTAGAAATTAGAAGATAGCTAATCTGGGGGGTGGAAAAAGAGGTAGGTGTTCAGGAAGGGTTGGAGGGAGGGGGTGAAAGAGGTTTTAAGCAATAGTGTCTTTAGCATCCAGCAGACATGTGAAAACACTACAGCCAGGTCTCGATTAGTGTAAATTTTTATTTAGTTCAAAATTAATAAATGCTAGTGCCCCCTCCCCAACTCTTCAAATCATGCACAAAAATTACATATAATTTGATAATTCAAATTCGAAGAATGTGACCACTTAAGGGGATTCATTATTCACACTAATCGAGATCTGGCTGTAATTTAAATTGCAGTAAGTTGAGAAAAGTTGAAGATAACTTACGTTGTAGAAACTGCTTTGCCAGAGGCATAGTGATGGCTGAGCAGCACCAGGAAACAAAATCTGAATTTATATTGTTCGTGGTGCAAGAATGGGTTTGTATGAACCTGGATGACACCTCAACACATCCATGGGTGACACCTCTATTCATTCTTGGGTGGGGGATTCAGGATGATTAGTGTCATTCAATTAGCTCACTGTACATGCTAATATTACTGGCCTTGGGAAGTGTGCTCACACACAGGGGTAGCACTGTTTCCAGTTAAAGTTTGTGAGATTGAAATTTGATACCCTGTACTGAAAAGCAATGTTAATGAAATAAACTAAGCCAAGGATTGTGAGAAGTGGCATTTACTAATGCAAACGTTAGGTTTAGCAGAAAACACGGAAAGCCAATCTTTCTTAAGTGACCAACTTGACCTGTGGCTCCCAGAACCCCATTACTGATGGCTGTTAGCCACTTTCCTAAATCTTTCTTGACAGGAATACAATAAGAAGCTACTCCTTTCTGCCTTTCTTGTGTTGAAAAACCCACAATGCAGCAGGTCTCAGGAACATTAAACTCTTCCAACACTGTTTCATTGCAACTCATCATCAGAAGTAAACAGTATCAGTGGCACGTGCTTGACAGGCAACATGGACTTCTTGTTCTGTGATATCAAATGCACACGTGTCCCACATCTTTTGTGAAATGGAATTATTTTTATTACCAATCCACAAATTGGCAACAAAATTAAAAATATTTTGTATGCATATTTTACAGATGTACTTGTTTAATGGATTTAGAGCTCTTTGGTTTTCTCATAATCCATAGTATGTATGTATTTTATGTTTTTTTGGGGGGAGGGGGGTAGTATACTGTGTATTAAGATAGTGCTGAAAGTACACTGCATTGAGGATCCATTATGCTATTTTTTTTTTTCCAGATATCTTGATGCATATGAACGCATTAACTTTCTTGGGGAGGATGGGGAAGAGCGAGGAACAGAAATGGACGATGGAGAGGACTCCAGACTGATGAGGACCAAACGTGCTATTAGGTCCCTTAATACTGTACCACTCTGTTACAACCATCAACAGCACAATGTCTTAGGTAAGATCATTATTCTCAGTCACATCCAAGTTTACACCTTCCTCTTAAAACTTGTTCAGTTGAAATTATAAGTAGTTATGATACGTCTTGTGTCTGTTTTCCACTTATTCTTTCTAGTCTAGTATGTAGTTGTGAAAGGCATGATATTCTTGCTCTAAATCTATATTGACTTAGGTTGTTCTGATTAAGTTATTTTTTATAAAATATGTAATTTGGCATCTCATGACCCTCAAAAATTCTTATGATGCATGATGTTAGTACCACAGGTCTGTAATTTTTAACCAGATCACCACTGTCTCCTTTTAGCAGGGAGGTTACATCTGCATTTTTTAAGAACTTGGATTTCACCTAGATCTAAGCTCTTTATCCAGAGTATACTGATTGCTCCTGATAGTGGTGATTTTCACTTTTTAAATAGAGTTCTATGAATTGGGCTCAAGTGTGTGTGGTGGGGGGGGAATGTATTCTACAATACAGTATTTCTGAGGAATTTGTATTTGTCAGACAAGCAGGAATATTGCTTTTTAAGTGCAGTAATAATTACTGTGTATTTTTACCATATTAGCCTGTGACTTGTGTGTGCAATAAATCAAATTAATGTGTATAAAATGTTGGGTTTTGTATGTAGTTCTGAATAGTAATTTTATTTCAGAATCCATAAGAGGTGTTTCTGGTTTATCAGTAGAGCTGTACAGACCCTCATTGTATGACAAGCTGGCACTCTCTTTAATTTCTCCATTGCCCAATGAACACGACTTTGCCTTCAACGTATGCACAATCCTTAGCAATGAGGGCCGTCATGTTATGCAGCTGAGCCAGTGTCCACGCTTAATCGAGCATATGTTGGGACACACTGGTGTTTACAAAGACTGTAAGTAATCCAAAAATTATATTTAATGTTTTTGTTTTGCTTATTATAATTGTGTATTTTTTTTTTATTTTGAATTTTTTTCAATGAGAATTTCCAAATAACTTCAGTGGGAGTTACAAAGATATACTGTGTAATGAAATTAGTGTGAGGGAAATTAAATGTTCATTGGTTTAAATAAGGGTTTTAAGTGGTACTTTCATATAGTCGGACTTGAGTCCTGGAAATGGGAAGTACAATGCCTGCACTTTAAAGGAGGAGTTTGGGATATTGGCAGTTTGGAGGGATATGTTGTGTATCTTTATACGTATATGCTTCTAAACTGTTGTATTCTGAGCACCTCTGCAAAAACAGTGAGTGTGGTGAAAGTGTTGAATGATGATGAAAGCATTTTCTTTTTGGAGATTTTCTTTCTTTTTTGGGTCACCCTGCCTCGGTGGGAGACGACCGACTTGTTGAAAAAAAAAAAGTGGTACATAATGGGAGAATAGGAGAAAAGGTAAATGATATAGGAATGTAGTAGTGTCCGAGATATAGTGATAGTGTGAATGATGTTGAAAGTGTTTCTTTTTTGAGAGGTGGCCAGTGTGTTAAATAAATGGTAAATAATGAGATAATCAGTTTACCTGGAGAGAGTTCCGGGGGTCAACGCCCCCGCGGCCCGGTCTGTGACCAGGCCTCCTGGTGGATCAGAGCCTGATCAACCAGGCTGTTACTGCTGGCTGCACGCAAACCAACGTACGAGCCACAGCCTGGCTGGTCAGGAACCGACTTTAGGTGCTTGTCCAGTGCCAGCTTGAAGACTGCCAGGGGTCTGGGAGGCAGTTGAACAGTCTCGGGCCCCTGACACTTACTGTATGGTCTCTTAACGTGCTAGTGACACCCCTGCTTTTCATTGGGGGATGTTGCATCGTCTGCCAAGTCTTTTGCTTTCGTAGTGAGTGATTTTCGTGTGCAAGTTCGGTACTAGTCCCTCTAGGATTTTCCAGGTGTACTGTATATTAAAATATATTCCAGTATTCTCTACAGCTCTAAACATTTCTTTATAAGAAAGTAAAAAAAAAATATAAACCTGATGAAAAACAACAGGTAGGCATTGCTGGAAAAAATATTAGTGGTGCTAAAAAAAAAATAACTTTTGACTGATAATTTTAGATGGTCAGAAATCTGATAAAGATGTTGTTTACTTTTAACAACTGAAGACGTTAGGAAATATTCAGTGAAGATTCTACATAGGTCATACCAAGGGAGGGAAATTCCCATAAGGTGAAAAAAAAAAAAAAGTGTATGTAGATCAATGATCAGTGTTCAGAGTATAGGTAAACCTTTGTAAATTATTAGCATATCATCTAGTAATTATGATTCAGTTATACAGTAACACAATGACACACTAGCTGAAGGCAGGGCAGCTGAGGCGCTCAGGCCGGATGGACATGCAGACACGTTCGGGACGAATGTCCCTAACTGAGTTTTTCATCGTTGGCCGAGCCAGTATTTTCATGCAAAGATGCATCGATATCCGATTTTATCGCTAGCCAATGTCATCATTACCTGAGGGTCCACTGTACTGCGGTTTATTAGTAACACTGTAAAAGGGAAACTGTGATGTCACATTGTCATTGTTATAAACCATTTGCTTCTAAGATATAAAATTACTTAAAAATTTTGCAGGGGAAACGCAGAAGTATTTCCTAACTACTTACAAGGAGACCAAAGGAAGAAGCTTGGTACAGTTTTGGATCGACTCTTTGTGTGATAGTAGTGTGTTGGACCTTCTAATTCCTGACAGCTTGGATCAACCACAGATTACAGAAGAAACAGTAGAATTAAACAGATTTGATTTTGCAGAACTTAATACTAGTGGTGCTATAGATAATAGACATGTGCATAGATTGAGCAGTGATAGTTTGGCAAATTTTGATGATAAGGAAATTTTTTTATGTGAAGACACTTGTGAACCCACTATATTAAGGGATTCTTGCATTACAAATGAAACAAATTTAATCTTAGAAAATAGATTAGATGGTGGATGTTTTGAAAATGTAATAGAACCTGAATACGAAAGAATATCCTCTGATGCAATCACACAAAAGCTGAAAAAGGAAGCCATTTCAAAACGATTGAAAAAGGTAAGTAGTTTCATTTTTATATTAGGCTGGTATTTACAGATTTGAAGCTGTTGAAAGGTAGAATTACTTTTATTAAATATAACATGCAATTGTATTATTTTCCATTTTTTTTATTTTAGGGAGAGGGGGGGTGGGTATGCAGTGCAGTCACCTAGTGATCAGGATATATTTTAGACAAAAGGATCGCTGAGAACCATTTACACTGAATATCCCATAAAGGGCTTGTGATCAAAGTAATTGACCTTGTGCTTAATGTCCTTGGAGTAAACCTAAAAGTTGCCCATTTTCCTACGTGCTGTATGACTCCAGGAGATTTATTGCTCACCCTCATGATTGTCTTTGTATCAGATAGATAACATTGGCATGTAAACAGTATGAATGCATTTTGGGAGCAGAGGTTTGCTCAACATCTGGGTTGATCATTTATCACTTCAGATCATTTTTTTTTTCTTCTTAGCTAGTTCAGTAGATCATGTTACTGATCATTTTCATACTTCACTGCACTTGATTAAAACAATAATGAAAACTGCACATGCAGCCAGGCCCCTCTTATACAGCAGGTTAGGTTCCAGACTACTGCTGTAAAACAGAAATCCTGTAAAGAGAACATATCTGTTATTCACTTTCAAATGTATAGAAAAGCCTGGTAGCATGTTTACACTATCATATATTTAGTGAGCAATAGAGCTAGGCCTAAAAAAATCATATATAGTACACACATTACTTAAAATATTTTTGTACTTTATAGTGAGTGTTGAATATATTTATTGTAGGAAGTCCGAATAAATGAAGAATGGGGCTAGTGTTACATAGGAGAGGCCTGGGGATGTGATTATTGAACAGATAAAAGGTTATTGGCTGGAATACTTGGTGTTTATTTTGGACTGTTTTCAGATTGGAATTTGTTGAATTTTGTCTAAAATTGGCCGAATTACTGACTGTGCACTTTATAGAGTTGTTCTGATAGTTGAATGGAGAGTTTCATGCACTCACTTGCTGGAACAAGGCATACTAGTGAAATGGGCAGAAATTAGGTTGGTTTGAACTATGTAATTGACCTGAAATAGACCTCAGTGGGCAAAATTGCTGATGCTAAATTGTGCCCAGACCAGCAACTTTGTGCCAGTGTATTTCCCTAAGTTACCCATCAGATTTAACAGAAAAAGATTTTCTACCATTTTCAAAGATAATTTTTTTGTATATACAGTATTTTTATAACACTTTTGGTGGCCACCACATAGATCTACGGCATTGAGGCCAGGGTTCCCATGTTGTTCTAAGTCATGAGCTCAGTTTGTTCATATAAGTTGTGAGGAGTAAATTTTGGCCTAGATAAGAGACTGGGTCTGTGTTGTGTGGACACTGAAAGCAATATTAATTTTGGGGATCTGGACAGTGAAAGGGTTAAATCACGTCAACAACAGCACTTTTAATTTCACTGGTTGTTAAATGGTGATATTTCTCTACGATTGTAACTTAACTGATAATTCTGGGTTCAACATACTTTATCAGTCAAATTGAAAATTCATTTATCCAGTCGACCGTAACAAATTTCTGAATTTGATTTTTGTCCATTACTTCTATATGTTGTCTGGCCATAAAGTTTGTCCGTTAAATTAAATAGGAAATCCATCAAATCAGGATGTGATAAATTGATTCCTTTAGTTATGCAGAGAATTCATAGTTTGGAGATTAGGTGATGGTGCAAGGGTAGAAGGGTGAAAAGGTGTTGTTGAGGTGATTTGGACATTTAGGAAGGGTGGAGAAAAATAGGAGGACTTGGAAAAGTGTATAAATCTGTAGTGGAGGGAAGGAAGAGTAGGGGTTGCCCTAGGAAAAACTGGAGGGGGAGAGTAAAGGAGATCTTGTGTGCAAGGAGCCGAGTGTGAGTGTGTTAGACATAAGTGAGGGAAAGTGAGTTTTGACTTGATGTGCTGTTGGAGTGTGATCAAAGTAACATTTATGAAAGGATTCGAGGAAATGAGTTAGCTAGATTTGAGTTCTGGAGGTGGGAAGTACATTGCCTGTACTCTGAAGAAGGGGTAGAGATATTACAATTTGGAGGGGTATCTGTGCTTTTGGCACATTTCTGGGAAGACAGTGATAGAGTAAGTAATGGTGAAAGTGTTTCTTTTTTCTTTGGGTGGGGGTTGCCCTATGTCAGTGCTCTATGATTTTCTTCAATAGGTTATTTTTAAACCTTGACACCTTTTTTTTTTTTTTTTTTTTTTTTTTTTTTTTTTTTTTTTTGGTGATAACAACCAAATCATTTTTTCTCTGAAATCCTTTAGAAAATTGTCAAAGTAAAGGAGTACGATATATGTTTTTCTTAGTTGAAATCATTTGCTCTATGTTCAACATATCACTGATGAACTACATTCTTTTTCAGGTATTAGAATGTGAGGGTAACGACCTTAAACTGGCAAAAGAGGATGGCGAGATACTTCACCTAGGACGGGATCTTGGCACTCAGGATCCTGAGGGAACACGGATCAGCCAGATTCTTCATATAATTCGCAATTTATCCTTTGAAGAGCAGAATGTACCAAGTCTTGCTAGGTCTCAGACATGCCTCCGGTTAGTTTCTTGATATGTTATTTCTTTGTACGTATTTGATAGTGGAAAATGTCAGTGCTTTTTCAGTTTTAGTTAACTATGGCAGTGGTGTGATGTAGACATGGCTCAAGTAATGTAGTTTTTTTGCTGTTCATTCAGAATGTAATATTTTATTACACAATTTTTCAAAAGTGATGCAATGGCAGTAGTGATCAATAGATCACTATTGAAGAATGGTATATCCTTGTATAGACAGCAAGGATGTGTTCCAGAATTGCTTCAGGAAGTTGTTTTTTCTCATGACTAACTCCTAGGTTGGTAGTTTCAAGGTGCAGCTAGATGTCAGAGATAGTGGCAGATAAGCAGATTTTATCCCCATGGTGTTTTCCAGTCTCTATGAGAAAATTGAAATATGCGCTATCTGCAAGAATGGATTTTTCAGCACGAACACTTTTATTGTGAGGAGCAATGTATGGAAATTGTAATTGCAAAAAAAAAAAAAAGAAGTAAGATGTTAAAACTTATACATGTACAATGGTCCCTTCGATTTCAGTATACATCTGTTCCAGAAGACATGTCGTAAACCTTTCGTAACACAAACCCCTAAATAAGTGATTTTTTTTTTTTTTTTCAACAAGCTGGTCATCTCCCACCAAGGCAGGGTGACCCAAAAAAGAAAGAAAATCCCCAAAAAGAAAATACTTTCATCATCATTCAACACTTTCACCACACTCACACATTATCACTGCTTTTGCAGAGGTGCTCAGAATACAACAGTTTAGAAGCATATACGTATAAAGATACACAACATATTCCTCCAAACTGCCAATATCCCAAACCCCTCCTTTAAAGTGCAGGCATTGTACTTCCCATTTCCAGGACTCAAGTCCGACTATAAGAAAATAACCGGTTTCCCTGAATCCCTTCACTAAATATTACCCTGCTCACACTCCAACAGATCGTCAGGTCCCAAGTATCATTCGTCTCCATTCACTCCTATCTAACACGCTCATGCATGGTAATTTATTTTAAGATGCTAGAATGCATTCAACCTGCCTTGGAATACTTTCTTGACTCGCTGGAGTTTTCCGAGTTGTAATTGAGCATAGGCTTTGGCTTGAAATCTCCAGGGGCATTGGCACCCAACAGTAGAGTAAGCCTGTCTTTCACAGGGCAGAGGAGATGAGGCAAGCTGGGCCTGTGTTGAGCAGGCCTGAGCAGGCAGGACAGGACAAGCCTGAGCAGGCAGGACAGGACAGGCCTGAGCAGGCAGGACAGGACAGGCCTGAGCAGGCAGGACAGGACAGGCCTGAGCAGGCAGGACAGGAACAGAGCCTGGGAGCAGGCAGGACAGGACAGGCCTGAGCAGGCAGGACAGGACAGGCCTGAGCAGGCAGGACAGGACAGGCCTGAGCAGGCAGGACAGGACAGGCCTGAGCAGGCATGACAGGACAGGATTGAGCAGGAAGGACAGACCTGGCCAGAACAGGTAGGACAGGACAGGGTAGAGCAGGGCAGGACAGACCAGAGCAAACCCCTTCAGCACAGGCCAGAGCAAACCCCTTCAGCACAGGCCATAGCAAACCCCTTCAGCACAGGCCATAGCAAACCCCTTCAGCACAGGCCAGAGCAAACCCCTTCAGCACAGGCCAGAGCAAACCCCTTCAGCACAGGCCAGAGCAAACCCCTTCAGCACAGGCCAGAGCAAACCCCTTCAGCACAGGCCAGAGCAAACCCCTTCAGCACAGGCCAGAGCAAACCCCTTCAGCACAGGCCAGAGCAAACCCCTTCAGCACAGGCCAGAGCAAACCCCTTCAGCACAGGCCAGAGCAGGCAGAGAATTGTACACTTGATATTTACACTTGCCATAGTCTCCCCACTTCCTGCATCTGGTACACGTTCAGTTTTCTTCCCTTTCACCCTCCATCATCATTCTATTTAACCCTTAAATGGTCCAAACATATATATACGTTTTTTCAACATCTGAAAGTATGCAAAAAATGTAGATTTTTTTTTGTTTGTTTTACATTTGAAAACTTGTAAAAAAAAGTAGATCTACTTTTGTAGCACTACGAATTTGAACGCCGATTTGTTTGGACCGTTTAAGGGTTAAGACCTTTTCATCACCCTATCTTGTCTCTGCGCTAAGGCCTGCCCATGCACTCCATTGTCCGTTGTATGGATATTGTATCCCAGATTTTTCATCGCAACTTGACACTAAATTCCTTTGAGGGTAAATCGTAACTCAGAATTATCATAACTCAGGGAACCACTGTGTATGGTATATGTACTGATTAATAATTTTTTCTTAATTTCAGATTTCTGGTTTTGTGCATATGTTCAAGATGGGGAGGGCTGGCAGTCAATGCTTTGGATACTTTAGGTAACATAGCCCCGGAGGTACAATTACGTGACCCTAAAATTGATTCATGTTCAGCTTCATTATTAGCGCACATATGTGAAGGTGTGTCTTCACCAGACCGAGCCTTTGTTTTAAGATGCCTGGAAGTCCTCAACAAGCTTGCCATGAATGATCCCAATGAAGAAGTTCTTAGTAACAATATTGATTCTCCGGTAAATCTTGTTTCTCTATTTTTGTTGCATACATCAAAAATTATTTGGTATTAATGTGGCATAAATTCAACATTGCATTAGTATTTTCTTTTTACTTGTTTTTACTAAATATAAAATTTTGCAGGTATATGGGCAAATCTGCAGATATCTTACAATCCATGACATAATGCTTTTGATATACACTTTGGAGTGTCTTTACTCATTATCATCATTGGGGACGCAAGCATGCAATGCTATAGTTCGTGCAACAGGATCCATTCATACACTCATCTCTCTCCTCACTGTAGAAGCACAAAGTTATGGTCCTGAAGCTTGTATTGGTATGAAGGTAAGCATCACAAGCATTTTGTAGTTATTAGGTATTTAAATAAATGTTTTCTAGATATTTGTTATGGAAAAACGTTTATTATATTCCATTTATAGGCATGCCAGATTTCTTCAAAAAATTTTCAGATTTTCTACACAAGCTTGAAGCTGTAAAATTTAATAAACTGTTTCAAGGCTTTGGGGTTCTAGGGCCAGTTTCTTGCTCCTGAAAAATGTTCATTGTAATATTGATACCAGCATTTCTGGTTTGGTATGTGTCTTTTGAGAGTATGGTGTCTGTTGGGCATGACAGACTAACATGCTTTAATTTTTTTCCCTCTTACAAGTAACCTAAGAATTTGAAATATTTGTGTTTTGGCATCAGTCACTTGTGTATTATGCACAGGAATTTTGTTTTACACTTGTTACTAAGGTATTGATGATCTTTGTGTAGTTGAGATAGAAATTGATAGATGCAAAATAAGAGATTGGTTGTTTTAAGTGACTGATTAATGTTTATTGAAACTTAATATTTTTTCTTTCGTTAGGTCGTAGAAACTGTAACCGGAGTAGTTAGTGAACCGGAGCCAGTAACTCCACCGCCGCCTCCACCTCCTGCCCCAGCTCCAGCTACTAGTGTTGCCACAGTATCAACACCAACCCCTCCCCCTGTCACTACAGCAGTGCCTGTTAGCAACACACTTCCTACTACACCAGTTGACACTGCTGCTTCCAAGACCCCCCTCACTAAAGTTGTTACCCCTGTAGCTGCTTCACCAACAGCTGCTGCTGCTACTACTACTACTACCATGGCTGCTGCTCTTGCTGGTGGCGACCCAAAAAAGCTTGCAGCTAGAATAGTGAGTAACACTTAATGTGGTCTTATTTTGATGTCATTTGTATTAGTAAATGCTACAATATGTATTTTTGTATTTGAATAAATCTGGAAATTAAATGGAATTAAAGTCTGAGAGTGAATTTGCCCAGAGAAATTTTTTTTTATTGAACTCTGAAAGAAATATAATTAACAGGTTCCACCAGAAGTTGAAGAGTTTGTTAAAGAATGGGTTATGAAGAATTATGAAGCTTGTCAAGGAAATGCCATAGAACAAGCAATAGTGTATCGTCATTTTGCAGCTTCTATGCATTCTATGGGCCGCAAACAGGGACTGAATCCAGTTCTCCTTTCAAATTGTGTAAGGTAAGAGCTGCAGTACATACAGTAATTTAGACTGGGAAACATGAGCCTTATTCAGAGGAGAGAGAATATGTAAAGCTTTGGAAAGAACACATTTGAAATCCAGAAATGATTGCAGTTTATCATTTCTCTTTGTTTACTATCTATTCTTGCTTTCCCACAAGATATGAGATGGATCACTTGCAGTGTCGTATTGAAATACAGTAAATAGTCTTCTAACAGCTACAGCACTACATTGTACACTATGCTTGCTAAGGAGATTCTTTAGGTGAGACCTATAATTTATTCCAGTCTCAGAATACTTTGCCAAAAGCTACTTTTCATAGCAGAATCTTGTGCAAAATCCTTAACATTCAGTAGGTAAATTTGCACATCTTTCAACTTTTTTTTTTATTTTTTTAATCTGTAGTTTCTACATTATCTTGCATAATATCTTCACTTTCTGCCCCAGGATATTTTTTACATAACCAAACCATCACAGAAAGGCAGAAGGGTCACTATTGTAACCAGAAATATTCCAAGGCAGAAACAGAGTAGACTAGAAAAGACCTTTTACCAGGAGAGCATTTGGACCAAGAATAGTAATGAAAATTGAAAATTGCACCCAAACAAGAAACAGAGCCAAAGCAAGAGCAGTAATGTGAAATGAACTAGACTGATGCCAGGAACCAAATGTTGCATGTGCAGGGGTTAAAGTGCAATTATAATAGAAATACTGGAGGGCCCCACTTATATAACAGGTTAGGTTCTGGACTACTGTTGTAAAGAAAAAGTGCTGTAAAATGAAACGTAACTCATTTTTCCTTGTTTAAATGTATATAAAAGCCTGGTAACATGTTTACACTTGCATATTAAATGAGCAATAGAGCTAGGTCCAAAACATGCATACACAGTACACACATTACTTACCTTAGAATATTTTCATCCTTAGCTTATAGTGAGTGGTGAATATATTTATTGTAGGAAGTCTGAATAAACAAAGAATGGATACAGTGGAAAGCCGCTACATTAACAAAATGCTGTAAAGAGGGGCCTGTCTGTCCCATATATGCTTATATGGGTTGAGGTTTTTTAGGATAAATTTTTTAAGGAAAAAATAGCAAGCCGACTTGTTCACATTCCGCTCCTAGTGCATACTCAGTCTCTACTTCCACTGTGTATCTAGAACAAACGCTACACTCAATAACCCCCCCACCCCCCTCAAACACACCAGTCATCTCCCATCGAGGTAGGGTGGCCCATCTTTCACACATATTCACTTTCTTAGCAGAGGCACGCAGATATGACAGTTCAGATGTCACTCCAAACAGCAAATATTCCAAACGCCTCCTTGAAAGTGCAGGCATTGTATTTCCCACCTCCAGGACTTGAGTCTGGCTAACAATTTTCCCTGAATCCATTCACAAAATATTACCCTGTTTACACTCCAACAGCTCAAGTCCCAAAAGCCATTCACTCCTATCTAACATGCTCACACATGCCTGCTGGATGTCTAAGTTCCTTGCACACACAACCTCTTTTACCCCCTTCCCTCCACCTTAAATATACAGATAAATTTGATAATATCCATTAGTTTTATTTGTGTTGGTCAAGCTCCAGGGAGTCTTGTTTGGGCAAAGTTGTAATCCTCCTTCCTTAGGTTTTTTTTTAAATGCTAGGTTCAATAAAGTTATGGTAAAGTTAATTATGTTAAAAATAAACTAAGGCAAAACCACACACAGTAGGGCCCCACTTATACGGCAGGTTAGGTTACCAGGCTACCGCCTAAAAGCAGACATTGCTGGAAAGCAGAACACCATTTTTTTACACTTATTATTTTTATTATTTATTTTATCATCACACTGGCTGATTCCCACCAAGGCAGGGTGGCCCGAAAAAGAAAAACTTTCACCATCATTCACTCCATCACTGTCTTACCAGAAGGGTGCTTTACACTACAGTTTTACACTTATTAATGTATATAAATTCCAGATAAGTTTACACTATTTATATTAAATTAGCAATAGAACTAGGCATTAAAAACAATAAAAAGTAAAATACACACACAGTACACTCGTTATTTATCTTCAGATATTTGTAGTCTTAATGTAGGGTGACAGGTGAGTAGTACATACTTATTGTAAAAAGTCAGGTGTGGGAGGTATGGTAGCCAACCAGGCCCCCCCCACACGTAATATACTACAATATTTAAAGCACCCTGGAGCAATTAATGCGCCTCACTGATTATTGTGTATTATATTATCATTATTAATGTGGTGTCCTCAAGACTAATAAGACACTCTTAGTGATTTTAATGTGTACCTGCACACCAGCACAGTGTGTAACTTTAAAATACTTGAAATTTTGGAGTTTCCAGACATAATGGAGAGACGCAGTGCTCACAGAGAATGTAAAACCGTGTGGTGCACGGTGACCATATTAGAAAGTCAGGTGGGGGAGCCATATAGTGAGTTTTGCTCATAATTTGTAATGTCCATATTAGCAGAACGTCGTAAAGCAGGGCCCTTATGTACAAATATTTTTTAAAATTTTAATATTTTTTAATGTGGAGTAAAATAAGGGTTAGATGTGAAAAGTGAGTTATAGTAATTGTTTATGCACCTGGAGAAGATAGAAGTATAGAGGAGAGAGAGATTTTGGGAAATGTTAAGTGAGTGCATGGGGAGTTTTGAACCAAGTGCAAGAGTACTTGTAGTTGGGGATCTCAATGCTAAAGTGGGTAAAAATGTTGTGGAGGGAGTAGTGGGTAAATTTGGGGTATCAGGGGTAAATGAAAATGGGGAGCCTTTAATTGAATTGTGTAGAAAGAGGTTTGGTAATAAGTAATAAATATTTTACGAAAAAGAGGATAAATAAATATACAAGGCATAATACAGCACGTAATGAAAGTAGTTTGTTAGATAATGTATTGGTGGATAAAAGGTTGATGAGTAGGCTTCAGGATGTACATGTTTATAGAGGGCAACTGATATATTGGATCATTATTTAGTTGTAGCTACAGTTAGAGTAAGAGGTAGATGGGAAAAGAGGAAGGTGGCAACAACAAGTAAGAGGGAGGTGAAAGTGTATAAACTAAGGGAGGAGGAAGTTCGGGTCAGATATAAGCAACTATTGGCAGAAAGGTGGGCTAGTGCAAAGATGAGTAGTGGGGGGGTTGAAGAGGGTTGGAATAGTTTTAAAAATGCAGAAGTTTGTGGTTATAGGAGGGTGGGGGCAGGAGGAAAGAGGAGTGATTGGTGGAATGATAAAGTAAAGGGTTTGATAAAAGAGAAAAAGGTAGCTTATGAGAGGCTTTTACAAAGCAGAAGTGTTATAAGAAGAACAGAGTATATGGAGAGTAAAAGAAAGGTAAAGAGAGTGGTGAGAGAGTGCAAAAGGAGAGCAGATGATAGAGTGGGAGAGGCACTGTCAAAAAAATTTAATGAAAATAAGAAAAAATTTTGGACTATGGATTTGTCAGTTAAAAACAGAGTAGGGGAGTTAGTACATAGGAAGATGGAGGTATTAGGTAGATGGCAAGAATATTTTGAGGAACTTATGAATGTTCAGGAAGAAAGGGACGCGGTAATTTCATGCACTGGTCAGGGAGGTATACTATCTTTTAGGAGTGAAGAAGAGCAGAATGTAAGTGTAGGGGAGGTACGTGAGGCATTACGTAGAATGAAAGGGGGTAAAGCAACTGGAACTGATGGGATCATGACAGAAATGTTAAAAGCAGGGGGGGATATAGTGTTGGAGTGGTTGCTATTTTTGTTTAATAAATGTATGAATGCAAGTATATGGAATAGGTAGTAAGTTACTAAATGCTGTTAAGAGTTTTTATGAGGATAGTGAGGCTCAGGTTAGGGTGTGTAGAAGAGAGGGAGAATACTTCCCGGTAAAAGTAGGTCTTAGACAGGGATGTGTAATGTCACCATGGTTGTTTAATATATTTATAGATGGGGTTGTAAAAGAAGTAAATGCTAGGGTGTTCGGGAGAGGGGTGGGATTAAATTATGGGGAATTAAATACAAAATGGGAAGCGAGTTACTTTTTGCTGATGATACTGTGCTTATGGGAGATTCTAAAGAAAAATTGCAAAGGTTAGTGGATGAGTTTGGGAATGTGTGTAAAGGTAGAAAGTTGAAAGTGAACATAGAAAAGAGTAAGGTGATGAGGGTATCAAATGATTTAGATAAAGAAAAATTGGATATCAAATTGGGGAGGAGGAGTATGGAAGAAGTGAATGTTTTCAGATACTTGGGAGTTGACGTGTCGGCGGATGGATTTATGAAGGATGAGGTTAATCATAGAATTGATGAGGGAAAAAAGGTGAGTGGTGCATTGAGGTATATGTGGAGACAAAACATTATCTATGGAGGCAAAGAAGAGAATGTATGAAAGTATAGTAGTACCAACACTCTTATATGGATGTGAAGCTTGGGTGGTAAATGCAGCAGCGAGGAGACGGTTGGAGGCAGTGGAGACGTCCTGTCTAAGGGCAGTGTGTGGTGTAAATATTATGCAGAAAATTCGGAGCATGGAAATTAGGAGAAGGTGTGGAGTTAATAAAAGCATTAGTCAGAGAGCAGAAGAGGGGTTGTTGAGGTGGTTGGGTCATTTAGAGAGAATGGATCAAAGTAGAATGACATGGAAAGCATATAAATCTATAGGGGAAGGAAGGAGGGGTAGGGGTCGTCCTCGAAAGGGTTGGAGAGAGGGGGTAAAGGAGATTTTGTGGGCGAGGGGCTTGGACTTCCAGCAAGAGAGCGTGTGTGTCTTAGATAGGAATGAATGGAGACGAATGGTATTTGGGACCTGACGAGCTGTTGGAGTGTGAGCAGGGTAATATTTAGTGAAGGGATTCAGGGATATCGGTTATTTTTATATAGCTAGACTTGAGTCCTGGAAATGGGAAGTACAATGCCTGCACTATAAAGGAGGGGTTCGGGATATTGACGGTTCGGAGGGATAAGTTGTGTATCTTTATACGTATATGCTTCTAAGCTGTTGTGTTCTGAGCA